CCAGGGATCGGGGACATCGCCACGCTTCTGAATCACATTCGCCGAGTTTCGCTACGAGGAGGGACTGACATGCGCCTAAACATTGAAAACTTCATCAGCGCATGGTGAAGGCGTTTCATACGGTGTAGGAATTCTTCCTGTAGTGGAAACAGTCCGAGAGCACGGCTAGGGCAGGTGCGTAGAGTGTTGATCTCTTGGCTACACTCGAGGCAGGAAGTGTGTGGTTAGGGGACATGCGCCAGTCGCCTCTCACAGTGTTTTATCGCCAGGTTGTGCAAGGCCTCCGCGGACCGTGGCGAAGAGAACGCCAGTTGGTGCTGATGTTTGAACAGGCTGGTCAGCATATTGACAAATCGTTGGCTATGCACCGTTTTGATGGAAGCGCCAAACTTCTCACTTGCGGACCCCACGCCAACTTGTAGGAGAGCAAGAAAGCCGCACTCATTCTTTGACGTCTAAGATTACGTGGTGAGTCTCAAGCCGGTTGGGTCTCTCGCCCATGATATACATGCTATTAAGATACAGGCTGATACTGCAACGGTACAGGTTTAGGGACTCTTCCAGCATCCTCTGGTTCGGGAGGTTCGCCGGTCCGCGTTTGTGTGTAGTATTACCGCAGAACTCATGCTAATAGATAGTGAGACATTTTTCTATGCCTCCATCATCAGCGATATTGCGAGCAGCGTGAGATGCTGCTTCCGGAGTCATCAGCTAAAGGTTTAAGTATTTGAAGTGCTGCAGTAGGTGATGGTTGCAACGAGTGACCTGCCAAATACGTTCACTCCCTGCGAGAGCAGTGGTGCAGATCCCGGAAGTGCCGTGTTCCGCCGATGCAACAATCTCGTCTTCATCAATCTCACTGAATTGCATCGAACAATGACACCAACTGGTTGAGCTATTTGTTGTATACTCTTCAAATGACAATCCTTTTACAACGTCTTCTCGAGTCTTCGATCCTTCTCAGACAGCCGGCATAACTCCTCGAACACAACACATAGCTCGTCTTCGCCCACTCCTTAAGGATCGGACTGCTGCATACACGCTTTCCCAACGCATCGTGTAATGAGGCATATCCCACCCCCTTCCCGCCTTCGAACCCTTCCTTCACACCGTTGCAGACGCGCGAAGCCTGTACGTACGAACTCCGCTGCGGCGACCACAACCAAGCAACACATTGGCGCAAAAGAACTAACATGACGCGGAGACTTGTCTTAAGACAAGACTTAGGTCTTTACCCAGTGTTCTCACGCCTCTACGATCGAATCGAGTCTCCTACTGACGACGGACACCCCGATTACGCGGATACCCCCCTCGACGAGTTCGATTGCGGCACGAAATCTCGCTTGGTTCAACGCCCCGCATGAGAGAAGGCCTTTCGTGTATCGAACTGCCTCTCAAACAGCTGGCATCGACAGATCAGCTTCCACTATCCTCCCTGTCGCGATACGATGAGGACAACGCCTTTGCTTGGGGGGGTTTGTCAACCACAGAATCTGGTCGAGTCAGTGCAATAAATACGGGCATAATGAGTTCGACTTGTGCAGAATCGAATGGAACGAATCGATGCTACCGTTGTGCTCGAGTACTCTCTAGCACGAACTGCCGCGTTCTACTCAGCTTGGCAGCGCGAACGAGTGGCTTCTGCTCGCACTTCCACCAACCCGACTATTGGATCCAACAATTAGCGCTAATGTGTGTGCAAGCAGCAGCACCATTGTGGCACAGCTACGCAGTGTGTACCGCTTTTGATCTGTACCACTGAACTGTGCCACTATTCCCCACGCGCCTCTGCGAACGCTTCGCAAAACCGCAAAACCGACGAGATTTGGAACACCAATGTACGTGAACCCGATACATGCTCGTAGCAGATTTCGAACGCCGAATTAGACAACAGCCGCACGAAGCGCCGCGCTGGCGATATGTCCTGGTCATGACTAGCGACACACACTACCGAGGCAAGAGCACACTGCAGGTGGTCGCAGGCAGAATTTTACACCATACACGTCTGAGAGAACCTGGAAGGCTTGGATCTCACATGCATCACACCGAGGCGCGCTTTCTGCGGCAGTTGGGAAGGACTGCAGTGATGCTCTTTCCGCTCGGAAGTTTTCCTGCTGAGCGTCGCAACAATGCGAAGTTCGGAGATGAACGGCGAATAAGAAGCTCATGCAAAGATACCGAACCCTTGGGCTCGTAGATTTTCCCGAGTCGCAGACGATACGCAGGCTTGCAGCCGAAGTGGGAATGATGGGCGTGCGGTAAGTAGCGGCGATCAGGCCTTGCAGCTGCACATGTGCACGCAGATGACCATGAACCCAGAGTGAGCTTCGCGACCCTGCACAACGGTGCAGAGGAGCACTCTACTCTCATGGTTAGATACGTAAAGGGTGCGCCAAACACAGGCTGTCTGGAACTTAAACACCGGACCGAACCGAAGGCGTCCGGGGCGTGCCTTCCGCGTACTAAGACACTGGCTCCCGCTGGCTGCCCAAGTGGACACGCCCTCCTCAGTCTACAAGTCCCAACGACATGTCGAAAACACCCCTTCTGGCATGACAACCCTCAGCCATGTGTACGACGCGTTCTTCAACAAGCTTTACCGACCGGCGATCCTTTCTCAGTGACGTTACGCATACGTCGAATGCACCTGACCACTCTCGCAACGCACGGGCATCGTCCTCCAGATCGAGGCTTCCGACAGTTCCGCCATGCGTCAGTCCTCCTTTTACAGCAATGTGGAAAGATTGCAACAGTCCACTGATTGCGTTTCCCTGCACCACGTCGCAGCGGCTGTATCGTGCAATAACGCACTTTTCATGACTTACCTTCACTTAGAAGCAGACCGCAAAGCCGAATAAGCTAACAGCATAGAACCGACTACTTATTCGAAGCGCGCATGAATACCGACCGTCCCTCCACAATTGCTACGCTCGCTGGCATCGATAGCCCTAACTTCGGTTGAACCTACTTCACCCTCATCGCGTTCGATTCGAGACCACGTACACGATCAGTTCAGATACTTCAGAGTTTCTCTACACCCCAATACTGCTTCGATGGATGATTCTTCGACCGCAATCGCCAATCCTTCTCCTCTTCCATCTCGAAAGAACTGCCGGCTATATACCTGTAGTACTGAGGACTGCCTTTGTCTTCATCCTTCAGACACGAGCACATTTCGACTTCAGTATGCATATCGAATGGCTCTATGTGCAACGGACAGCCGATCAGGGCAGAAGTGACAAGGAATGTCGGCTGAATAGTCTCTAGGCTGCGAATACAACGAGCGTGTTCGTACTTATGCCGCCTTACACCCGGGATAACAAGTGTTCCGATTGAGCTAGGCTCTTGTGTCAGGCCATTGCTACTACAGAGCCGTAGTCAGTAGGTCTGTCGTTACCAGAAAGTAGCCGGAGCGATGGAATCCCAGTATAAAGCGGAACCTCATCAAACGCAATCCAGTGGGTTTTTGGAGCCAGATCACACGAACTCCAAGCATGCAACGATGATATTACAAGTCTTAGGCGGCTTTGAGAAGCAACAGGTGATATGGCCCTCTGCCCCGATAGACAGACATTGGCTATGGCGTTTGACGTTGTAAGTAAGTCAGCCGCTCAGTTGTTCCCACTCACCAGCTCTTTGACCTATCGCATTTCACCTTAGATCCATCCATCTCATGTCTTCTTGGCACTTTCGGGTTTTGATAGCGAACACGGCCAACACGCAAACATTCTCAACAGAAAGTAATTCGTGCGTCTGATCGCTCAGCGACACGACCTTCCCACTACCGCACCACTTCTACATTCAATTCGATAGTTCCACAGTTGCGCGATACTTTACCAGCGAGATTGTGAACATTCGTTGTCTCCAACCGTTACTTCGACGTCACGGTCGTCGTTCAGCTGATTGGACGGACACAGTGGAGCAACGGGAGCACCCGCAATAGTACCTTGCTCTCTTCACGACCAACTTTCTTGAAGACAAAACAAGCGTGCCCCATGTCTTCAGCATATGCGCCAACCTCAAACAGTAGTATAAACTTACTGTTTGCGCCGTTACCGTTTTTCGGGACAATTGAACCCTATTCCGTGGCGTACCGTGGGGATCCGCATGTACTATGTAGCACTGGTAATTCTCCGCATTTAATGAAGCAAGCCACAGTCGTATCTTCCGTCCATCCTACGAGTTCCAATCGTACATCTCCATCACTTTTAAACAAACCAGCAATATCACCATGAGCAACCACACCCCAGAAGACCCGGCGACATCTGCCTTGCCCACCTATACAATCCTCCGGGACACAGCGCTCAATTTCATCAGAGCCCAAACACTCGACACGAATTCTCCAGAACGCATGGACTTTGATCTGATGCGTACCTACTGCGCCCCTTCCTTTGAACACTCATGGGGCCACAACTACGCCGTCTCTCTCACTCCGCCTCTCCAAGGCACGCATTCTCTCGATGGCTTCTTCTCCCATCTACGGTCCATGCTTCCCAGACTTGAATCCTGGAAATCCAATGTCACAGACATCATTGTCGATCCAGTCAAGATGAAGGTCGTCCTGCGGATCAGCTTCATGATGCAGGCAAAAGGCGCGACGGAGGAGCAGATAGTGGAGAATGATTTGCTGTGGATGATGGAGATGGAAGAAATGAGTAGCGGCAAAGTGGGCATCAAGAAGAGTATGGAGTTTCTGGATGGCGCGGCGGTGGGCAAGTTGAGGGAGATTATGATGGGAATAGCGTAGGCTTCATGCTGAACGAGAAGAGTTTGACTTTGCAGTCTTTCATAGCTGTCGTTTATAGACGTTGAGGTCTCGCACTTCTATCCTGACGTACCAGACGAATGCCATCTAAGTTGAGTTGTACCATGCCTATAACTCCGTTGCTACCGGTCCAATATGAATATCGCCAACTTTTCTTTCGCTAAAGGTTTGATATGCGTGCCTCGTGTTTAACCGTTTCCTCATATACATCTTGTTTCCATCGTCTCTACTCCATCTAGTTGGAGTGTCCATTAGTGTTTCCCTGTCTTACCATCCAGGATAGCAAGTCCACCTTTGTGACAACAGCAACGGCCTTTGGCTCGCCATCGACACGCTCGGTGACAACAGCTGCGCTGTTCCACTCGAAGAACTTGTTCAGATCGCTCAAGCTGGTCTCCTTGGTGATCTCAACAAACTCCCTTCGTCCCTTCTTACCGCCCTTCTGTGTGTTCTTCGCGTTGTCGCCGTCAAGCGAAAGACGGCCGAGGTCCTTGACGACCTCGTTCAGTTTGCGGAAATCGAACATGACCTCTTCGACGGGTGACTTTGGTGTTGCACGACCGGCAGCGATGTAGGATAGCAAGTTGCCGAGGGTCACTAGACCGACAAGACGCGCCTTGCCGCCGGAAGAGTATGTGCTAACGGGAAGTTGGTCGAAACCCTTCTCACGCATTGTTTCGATGGCTTCGCTGCAGGGCGAGTTCGAGGGAACGGTGGTAACGGGTTTGAGTCGTAGGGAAGCGATGGTGGCGCCGTGGAAAGCGTCGGCCTGCTTGGTGGTAGAGAGACGGCGAGTGTTTGCGCCGTTTGTGTTAGGTGTTAGAGGGGGCGTAGGGGGGAGAAGGTCGTTTGCGGCAAGCCAGTCGTCGTCGACGAACTATGATACGTCAGTATGACAGAACAGTAGCATAGGAAAAGAGATGACATACCTTGCTGAGGTAGCTTCTAATGCTGTCGGGGAGGATGACGACGACAACATCATCTTCGGTGAGATCCATGTCTTTCGCGGCTTCGACCATGGCACCCATCGCACTACCAGACGAACCACCGCAAAGAATGCCCTCTTCGGAGATCAACCGGCGCGCGTACAAGAACGATGTCCGGTCGTCTGTCTTGTACCACTTGTCCACAATCTTCTGCTCCAGGACGTCAGGGATGAAGTCGTATCCGATCCCCTCAACCTTGTAGCCCTCGTTCACGCGTTCGTCGTTCAGGGTCGCAGGAAGTGCGAGTATACTGCCGTGTGGATCGGCAGCTACAATCTTGACATGCTGCTTATGCTTCCTCAGACCGCGCGCTAGACCTGTGATAGTGCCTCCAGTTCCTGCACCAGCAACAAGACAGGTGATCTTGCCGTCGGTCTGTGTCCACACCTCCTCGGCCGTGCCGCACTCGTGCGCGAGCGGGTTGTCGGGGTTCGAGTACTGGTCGAGAATGTGCGCGTTCGGAATCTCCTTGACTAACCTCCTCGCAACGCCGATGTGGCTCTCGGGGCTATCCCATGCCGCACTCGTTGGGGTACGAATGATCTCGGCTCCGAGCGCCTTGAGAACCGCCACCTTCTCCGGACTCATCTTCTCGGGAAGGGTGATGATGGTTCTGTATCCCTTCACCGCACCCACCAAAGCCAGCCCAATACCCGTGTTACCAGACGTAGGCTCGATGAGTGTGTCACCGGGCTTTATGCGACCAGACTTCTCGGCGGCTTCGATCATGCGAAGCGCGATGCGGTCCTTGACACTGCCGCCGGCGTTGAAGGCTTCGACCTTGACGTATACGGTGGCACGGATGCCCAGGGATTGCGGAATCTTGTTCAGGCGTACGAGGGGCGTGTTGCCAATCTGCTGCGTTATGCTGTCCATGACCACAGGTGGGATGGCGGGGCGCGTCTTGGTAGACATGATTGCGGTATTCGTGTCCTAAGGCTTGTACGTGATGCTGGAGTATGTGTAGTAAGAGTTTTCCGGGAGTATAAGCAAAGAGAGTACCCGCACGTCAAAGGCGAAGAAGATGTCGTGATACGGCTGCAAAGTTGTCGCGAAGAACAAACTCGATGGCCTGACCCGCAAATAGCCGCCGCGCTCAAGCCACCGCTTGTAGATCCTTACAGCGCTAGCCGGATACGCTCAATCGCCACTTTCACGCCGCCGCCTCCGCCACTGTCAGCTGCCTAGGCACGTGGTGGGTATGCATAACATCTATGAATCAGCATCTCGGTAGCCTACTAACAGTCAACATGGTGGCATCTGAATTTTAAGTACTCATCACTTCTATGCCTGTTCAGTTTGGTGATATTCTGACATTGACTTAATTCGATCCATGGCTGCAAGATGGAACCACGAACAGCTCTCTGCCATTCTCAGCTCCACTCGATCAGGTCTGAATCGAGCTTCCGTTGACCCTTCATTTCCAAATCTATCCCGCGCGGATGAGGAGGCCATCCGCGACGTGGACCCATCATCCACAGAAGCACGCATACTATGTACCTTTCAAGATCTTCTCACTCATCGAATCAATCCCAAAACAGCTGCAAATATCCTTGGTTCACTGAATTCGGCGCATTGCTCGTCGTCTATACCCTGTGATGCGAGCATACTCTGGGGCGCCATTTGCCATCGTGGCGAGATATGGTCGGAAGCAGAATTGAGGATATTAGCCGACTTGGTGGTAGAGCTCGCGAGGTTGTCATACCCTTTACCAGAGTATCCGTACGATACAGATGAGCCGGTTCAGGGCACCAGCAGCTTTGTGGACTTACCTGGCTTCGGTAATGAGCTCATGGGTTACTTGCAAGGTACGGACATGAACAACTCTCATGTGAAAAGTCTCAGAAGCTGACAATGTTCGGTCCAGGTCCAAAGTGCTATAGCTTGCAGTTCATGACCTCTGAAGCTCGCACAGATGCTACGTTGAGGACGGCTGAATCAATGACGGCACGGATTGTCAGTGGTGATGTCGTCCTAGCTGTCAGAGACCTTTACAAGAACATCAACACGTTCGCCGCGCTTCTTAGCTGTTACCACATTCGAGGTGCACTGCCACAAAATAACATGGACTTTCATGGTATGGCATGCTATCCAATCGTTGGTGCCCTCGAACACGAACTCAGCCTCAATGAAGTGACGCAGCATAATGATGGCTCTGCTACCATACCTGACCAAGACTGGGCGGCTTTCAGGTCATCGCAACCTAGCATAGACCTTCCAGCGGCTACACAATGGCTGTCACTCCTAGGTCACGATCTTTACGACCGTCTGATGGACCTTGTAGCGCCAATCGGTCCTTTGTGGAAGGCCCAGGGTGGCGAAGAGAAGATTACGGTGAAAAGATGGCGGTTCTGGCAGAATAGACTACGGTACTTTGCTTCAAGCGATACCATTCTGGGCGATGGGATCAAAACGGCATGCAGACAAGCAGCAGATCGCATGGACAAGGCCGCCTGATTGAGACGTCACGGTGCTTAGGACTGAGGTGTATGATATGACACCACTGTTTTTAGCAGGACATGGGTAAGCTCACCATCCATATGCTTCCGAACTGCGATCTTTCCGTTCCTAGTGCGAACACGAAACTGAGTTCGGCCTGGCAGACATACAATGCACCAACTTGTATTCCGCGCATAAGCCTCTAATCCAGCAGCTGGACTTGATGACAATCTCGAAGGGTGCAAAAGAAGTGGGGTTTTGCAAATGAGTGTATTGAGTGAGGTGATCTAGAAAAGCAACGCGCAACGCAAGACCAAATCCAGAAGACCGAGACTGAACACAAAGCGACAATATCCACTGAAAGTCAGACGCGCGTATGGGCGGAAACCAAGTAAGCAAAGATGGTTGGGAAAGGAAATAAGGAAATCCAAAGAAGAGTCACTACCAAGATGCGACAGCCGGGTCTGGCGGCGCAGCTTGCAGGAGCGGAGAAAAGGAAAGCGCTGGAAAGCGACGGATGACATGTCTGCCACTGCAGAACTGGAACGCGGTAGTAACGTTTTCATTTTGCATCAAGAATTGAGGCATCTGTCGTCTGATCGGAGTGTGTGAATTAGAGTGCAAGGTCCAAGGGGTCAATCATTTCGATCGAAGCCGCCCCGACTTTCTTGAGCAGTTCGAACGGTTCGATTTCGTCTCCGTCTTGTCAGCATGTAAGCAGGCCTCAGGGCATGGAAGATGTATCTACCTCAGCACATCTTCGCTGCTCAGTCAACAGGGTCCATACGCCATCGCCAACTCGCTTCAAGGGTTCTGAGCCTTCGGGATCGAGGAGACCGAGCTCATGAATCTTTGCTCGAACCGGTTGGATTAGAACGCTAATAGTCGTTGGGAAAACAAGTGTCTTTTTGGGAAATTTGACTTTGGCTAAGGGGAAATGAGCGCCACCGCCGTCATCCACGAGCGGAAGATACTGGTACTGGGTGTCGCTTTACTCGTGAGCTTACTTTGGAACAATCGCGCAATAACATACGAAAACATCGAACAACAACATGAACGACAAATGCTGGGTAGTGCTTGAACTGCATGAGACGAACAAGGGTCACTAATCCATGACATACACTGTCAGGTGCGAAGTGTGTCATTCTCGTAGTTCGATGCGCTTGGAGACTGTAACAGACGTAAGATCACTTCGATCACATAATAAGAGGCAGTGTTGTCGTCAAAACTTCAAAAGTGTAACAGCAAACTTGATGATCTACACGCGTTAGTTATGACCTCGATCAAGGTGGCATAGACCTACTAGTTTCATTGTTCAACGAAGGGGGTATCGATGTATCGGTACACAGTCGAGCCTCGATTCATCCTACCCTCTGTGGCCACCTGTAGCTTCTTCAAAGCTGCTCAGCAATCCACTGCCACCATTGCTCCACATTAGCGCCCTCCTTACCCGCCTGAACATTACCCCCAATCACAGTCACACTCGTTCCGCTCTCTCTCATTTGCTCAAACGTAAAGACGCCCTCGCCGCCCTCACCCAGCCACTCCTTCTCCTCATCTACCTCATCTTCGCCACCATTCAACGCTGCACCTGCATCGCGAAGCGCCTTCGCCCTGTTACTCCTGACCTCAGTGATTGTCTTCTCGAGCGAGTTCTTGACAAGATTCGCGGGCAACGCCGTGAACAGATCCATCTTGTTTGCTGCAACAAGGACAGGGATCTCCTTTGGCCCTTTGCTTGTGGTAGCGTTGGTGTAGCGTTTCTGTAGCGAGAGAAGGATGTCGTGAAGGTACTCTCCGGCCTCGTTTACTCCGGCTTCATCGCCTAATTGAGCGGCGTCGACGACGAATATTATACCGCGGATGTTCTTGGGGTCGGCAAGTTGAGAGGTGGCATAGTGACGGAGCTTGCCGTGGCCAGGCGTGTCGAGGAGGAGGAAGTTGCGGGAGCGCTCAAAGGCTGGATCGCCTGGTGAGCGGTAGTGCGATGACGCGGGGACGTGTGGGCTGGGGAGGAGAGCGGAGACGGTAAGAGGTGTGGTGGACGTGTGCGTTTGGGTTGTAGCGTTACGCTCGGCCTGGCACTTGTTAGACGGTACAGGAGAATGGGTCTGGGAGGTACGTTACCAATGTCGTAAAGGCCGTCTTTCCACTGCCGCTTGGGCCGGCTAATAGGAAAGTGGGAAGTTGCGCGGCTGCAGCTGCCTTCTTGTAGAGGACGGTATGCAGTAGTATGGGCAGGCAGAGCGCGACGAGGAAGGTGATGAGGATAGTCGACAGATTTGGGGAGAAGGCTGCCGTGAGCCAGCTGTCCTGATCGTACCACGCCATGGGGACCGGTGTGTGCTGTCAACAGAGCGCCGGATGCGCAATGCTGTCGGATGCTGGATGGAGCGTGTATGCGAGCCGCGTCGGGGTCAGGACGCTTCAGGGTGTCGCGTGGGTGAAGCGATGACGTGACACCGTTCAGCATCAACCAAAGTTTTGGCGGCCGGACCCTGAGTCAGGAAGGGGACGCCTGAGCCGCGGGGAACACGGGAACACGTCCGACGGCAAGAGCTTACAAGAACCTCACGTCTGCACTTCTCCACTCTTCTTTGCATGTGCGAGCACCTTCTCAAACATTTTGTGACGCCAATCGCTTGTCTTGGCCCCGACCACGCCCGGACGCGCACGCCAAAAGTCGCGTCGAGCCATGGCGTCGAGACCCGCCAAACATCACTTTCGGAAACGCTACGAACAATGATAAACGCAAAAGGGCCGCCTGCATTCGACAACTATCACACGCTTTTAAGGCACTACATAATCATACAATAGACAAGGGGCCGCCGTCATTAGCTTTCTCGTGCGCCGTACATCTCCCGTCCCTTCGTCACCGTGCCTTACAGTGGCTACGCAACCCTTAGGACCCTACGTCCTAGCCGATGTTGCATTTTCCTTGTGTGCGTTCTCAATCCTGCTGATCCAAAGCCTCGAAGGCTTTCCATGGCCGTGACCCATTACTCATACAACCATGATTTGCCGTTGCTGCCAAGCTCGCAAGGACAGATGCTGGGGCGCATAAGTCAGAGAGCGCCATACAGAGGCAGCACGAAAGAGATGGATGCGACCGTCGACCTTTTTTTACCTCCATGCGCCATGCACCATGCAAGAAGCATTCGTACTCATAACTCGTAGAATGTGCCCTCACCCTGCACCATCTGCACGTCTCGTAATGCGTAAAGAACACCATCATAAAACAGAAGTGAAACAGAGAAAGACATAACAGCATGGGAACGACGTGTAAAGAAGCTGGTCCCTCCAGGTCATACAGGCAATGACACCGGAGGTACCGCCAGAAGGGGGCAGAATTAAATATGCTTTGTGATGACACACCAAGACATGTACCAAGGTCAACCTGACCAGCAGTTGAGGCATCATATGCCAGCAGAAACAAGGGAGGTCATGTACTGTCGGCTCAAATCCCAAGGTACTGGCGTTGTAAACATGTTCTCTGGAATCAGGCCAACACTAAACGTTGTACTGCCGCCAACATGCTCGAAGCCTGCCATGTAGCCTTTCTTGCGCGATGTATGATACACCTCTTCGCGTGCGACTCTGACCTTGTCTGAGCTACGGTATTTTGGGTGTCGTTCGTTTAGGGAGTGGTGCTGGTGTGAGGGCTCGTCGGTGTTCGTGTTGGCAAAGGATCAAGTACAGTAACAATAACAAGGCCGCCGCAAAACCGAGATCTCATCGCGAAGCACCCGAATATAGCCGTCGTTGATAAGAGCTTCTCGACTGCCTGTACGAAGTGCAGTGAGGCGGGATTCCGTTCGAGAAGGGAGCGAGCCTCAATCCATGTTGAGCCGGCCAACATGGTCCGTGCAAGCTATGACAGCAGTCTACTGAATGCTTGTCAATAGGTGTGTGCTTGTACGTCGGGATAGTATCCACGACTGCTCTCCATGCCTTGGAATCTTCCGCAGCCTCCGATGTGCCAGCCAGCAGTGGGATACTCATCCTTGATCCTGCGATCGGGTGGCGGTAGCGTGCTTTCAAGCTTAGCAGGAATAGTCTCGTAGATGGACGCAGGATAATAAGAATAGTCCTGAGGGGCATCCATCATCTTAGCATCGTCGTCTTCGACCATGTGCTGTTCGCCGCTAACGCCCTCGACCGGACCCCCACTCAGAGAACTTGCTGAGCTGACCGAATGACTGCCGACGGGACTTGGGTCTAGCGAGTACGTATTACCACGATACATGCTGCCGCCCATGCCCGTTGCACCACCGCCCGACATACCGTTCCTCCAGGCCGGATAGGATGGTTGACCACTTGATCCCAGCCCATGATGGCCGCCTCCACCGAGGCCAGACCCAGGCGCGCCTCTTGGAGTACCAGCATTGTGTGGACCCTCGTTCTGGTAATGGCTAGGCGACCTTCCACGGACAACGACGGGAGACGACAGCCGAGCTGCGATCTTGACCCAACGGGGCTCAGACTCTCGTGGAGTTTGCACGTTCGCCCACAACTCGACAATTAGATGGTAGTACTGTTGTTGAGCGCGACGCTTGCCATTATTCGCCGTTGCCGACTTGAACTGAATGCGTTCGAATGAATGCTGGTAATTGCTACTAGCGTGGCTCGCTGGGGAATATTGTTGCGACGAGTCGCTTTCGCTCTGCAATGGTAGCTGAGGACCCGGCACGGTTGAGGTTTGATGGAAGTTACTCAGCCCATATCCACCATGCTCATGACTCTTTCCCGGTGGTGTTGGGGCCAGTAGTTCCTTCTTCATCGCGAGCTGCGGGCCTTTGTCACGCTTAGGTGTGTGCTGGATCAGCTCGATAGTCTTGCCTGTGGAGCCGTCCACAGCCGCTGCAAGAGATACTGCCATGGACTGTATTTGCTCCGGTGGTTTGCCTGTCTGCTCGAGGTACATACGGGCGTTTGCGATCCAGGGCGTAAGCTGGAACGACACGTTGACAGCGAAATAGTTCCTGCGGTAGCATGTCCATACTCGATCACCGGAGTAGAAGAAGCCCTTCTCGATTTTGGCGTCGATATTTGGCGTCACTGTCGAGCCTTCGCAAGTGATGTTGCCCCATGTCTCTTGTGCGTTGAAAGGCGGCGTCTCGGGTGAGCCTGAGGGCGTCGCATAGGTGCTGGCGTGGTAAGCACCGTTGTAGGTTAATGGCATGGTGGTGGCAAGCACACTCCTAGGAGTGTCAGGTTGGGAATTGTACCGGGAAAGGTCAGCTCGAGGGGACAAGGCGTTGGGATATCTATGCACGCCAGGCGTCCCTGTCGTATAATTGTCCCTTGCCGACGAACCCATGGATGGTGACACAGAATGGCCTAGTCCTGGTGATCTCGCCGGAGGTAACATTGCCGACGAAGAGGGATCGTTTCTATCGCGTAGCTGTCAGCTGTCATGCATCGCTTCGGGTTCTGCACGCACGAGTGCGCCACACAGAAAACCTACAATCGTCGACTCGAAGACATGCTGCCGTAACCACACGTAGTGCTGAAGTAATTATTTGGTACGGAATAGTGACTTGGGTAAGTGTTTGAGACCGTCGGAGAGAACGTAGTGTACGATGAGTATGCCAGTGCTGATGAGGCGTTGGAGCTTGGCGAGGTCGATATGGAACCAGACCCTGAGTCTGAAAGAGCCACGCTCGACTGGTAGCTATAGACTCAAGTCAGTCAAACTCGCAAAACAGAGCTATCCGGCCAAAGTGATGCCAACGACAACGATGTGTAACCAAGAGTAGGGTGGCACGGTATAAGTCGTCAACCAGACCAGGGGCGGTACGGCATTACCGCTAGGCTTGTCGTGTGATCAATGTGACAGACCAGCCTGTTGGGAAGACCAAGTGCGCCATACATCCGGAGCGTGTGCGACGACAAGTATGATGAAGGACGTTGACTACGTGTTTGTTTTGGGGTAGGAGAAGCCTGAGCCTGGGCTGCACCACGCCATAGAGGCGTCGAGGGATGCAGGCTGGGGGCCACAAGGCTAGGCAGCACCACGGAGCCTACCATGCCAGCCCGGGAAGGAAATGACCAATGAGAGCATTTACTTACGCACTGTCGGGACGATGTGTACCGTAACGGCCTGTAATCGAGCCCTGGTGGATACCGGTCGCAGTATGTGCTAGGACCCCGTCGCGTCTTAGCTGATCGGGTACGGCTGCGTAGGAGTTATGATGTGCATGCGCACCAATATGCTCGATGCATTCCTGGTCCGAAGAGAAAGGGTTCTCCGATGCCAATGGCAGCGGTGATTGCAGCACTGCTTATCCTGCACGTCAGCCAATCAATCCAGGGCAGCCGGTGTGCTGTTGAACAAGACGTGTGACAATAACGGACAACGTGCACGGATGCGCGATGGAGAGGAGAGAAAGATGCGCGATGGAGAGGAGAGAAAGATGCGCGTGGGACGTGGTAGCACAAGCGGCACCGCGATCGGGTGGCAGGACAAGCGTGCGGAACGCACTACAGGAACAGGAACAAATGCAGGCCCACGGTGTGGTGCAGTGAACAGAGGGGAGAAGGCCGATGCACCAACTGTGTTGTGGTGCAATATAAGAGCGCACGCGGGAGGAATGTTGGCCTGGGAAGAATGCGGAGAAGGGCGCCAGCTTATGGCTGGATGTGCAGCGCTTGGCGCGAGCGACTTGGGGGTTTGGGGGTTTGTGTATTGCGCAGGACATGGGTTGCAAATACTTGGGGATTTGGCTTACCTTGATTCATCATTGCAACAGCCAGTGATATATCGCCGTTCTGCTGAGATCTATCGCAGCGCCTTGTAGAGACACAACAACCCTTGCGAGAGACTGGATCTTACGCCTGACTCTACCACTCTACGCAGCAGTTCCGACAGTCTGGGTCGACTTCGATGGCGCCGGCAGTGGCGAAAGGATTTGCTGCTGACAGAGTTCCGCTGCGGCCGAACTGCTTCGCGCCGTCGCTCGAGACGAGGATTCGATCAGGCGAGGCAGCGAGGCAGCGAGTCAGCGTTTCGCGTGGCGGTTGCGATGCTAGGCTTCGGGCTGCCGGGCCAAGCGTCAAAGGGTTGCTGAAAGGGGATGGTGGTGAAGGCCGACGACTCGTCTAATTACGCTGTTGGTTCGCTTGAGAGGCAATCTGGGGGGTTTAGCCGGCACAAGGGCGGGATCCTCGATTAGCTGCCGCTGCGCTGCGCTTCGCTGGGGGCTAGGCTCCGTTAATGCTGATGTTCGAGGGGAGATGCGGCTATTGCGAGCAGACGGTGCAATGCGTATATTGTCCAGCACTGTGGCTCGGTGGTGCGCGCGCTGCACTCTGGTCAATCGGTTCTTCAG